CTTTACATTACAAAAAAAAAATGCTCATTTAATAAAGATTTTAGAAAGGTGCCACTCTTACTGTTTCGAATAGAAAAAAAACGTTATAGCCGCTTTTGTGGGTAAAGGACTGAGACACGCTAGAATGTATTTAATAGATTTAAATTTAAGTTGGTCTTGTTACCGACCAATGACATGCTAAATAGTACAAAGGTACATTATTGCTTGCTCCTGACATTATTTTGTGTTACTTACCGGAAATAATGAAAGTGGATTTTGTGGAATTGGACCCTTCGAACATTGTGTTATTTATACTATGAATATGCGGATATTCACCTAATTTACGGTGAAGCTTGCTGTAATCCAAGAGCTGCTTAAAGACTTTATGCAGAGCGATACCCCAATCGTCGGCATCCGGGCCGTGAAGTATTCGCCCGGACCCATAGAGAAATATATGAAGGTAAGTGATTTTTACACCTTTCTTGTTTGAAGCCATTCTTCTTTTAACTATAATTTTTAACTTTTTTAAGGTCGCATACCTGGAAGGCGTGGCGGCAACGGTAGATGTTAAAATTGTGTTAGAGGAAGTGGAACTAGGTCCATCGACTTCAGGGAGAATGATGGAAAGACGGACTGGAATACCAAACACTACAGTTCACAAGGCTTTAAAATACCATCCCTACCACATTCAACGTGTTCAGGCTTTACAAGAGAGAGATTACCTGTCTATGGTTAGATTTTGCAGTGAAATGTTGCGAATGTATGATTCAGACCCCAACTTTTTTAATAAAATAATTTGGAGCGATGAATCATCATACAAACGTGATGGTTATTTTAATTTACATAACCTTCACAGTTAGCAGATAGACAATCCTCACGAAATAAGATAAGATCGCGGTATTTTTAATTGTCAGATATTGGGACCTGTAGAACTGCCGCCAACGCTCAACTCCCACAGTTATTTAAAGTTCCTTCAGGAAAGGCTTCCAACTCTTTTAGAACATGTACCCTTAAACCTGCGGCGAAGACTATGGCAGTAAAATGACGGATGACGGAGTAAGAGCTCATTTAGACAAAACTTATCCTCGCCGATGGATTGGACGATACGGGCCAATCACGTAGCCCGCTCGATCGCCAGACTTGAATCCATTAGATTTTTTCTACTGGGGCTGTTTTAAGGACAAAATTTATTCAAAAACATCTCAAAACGAAGAGCATTTGCGGGAACAAATAAATGGAGCTGCTGCTGAGATAGCCCAATTGAGTTTAAGATCTCTAAAAGCGTCTTTTCTTAAAAGGTGCCGAGCTTGTATTAGAGTAGAAGGTCGCCAATTTGAGCATATTTTATCAATAAACGAATAAATTTTTCTTCAAACAACTCATGTATGTTTTATTTCACGTGAACCCATCCTTCACAAAAAATATTGATAGATATAGCCCTTGTTATTGACTCTAGTCCGAATCCCGGTAAGTAACATAAAATAATGTCAGGAGCAGGTAATAATGTACCTTTGTACTATTTAGCATGTCATTGGTCGGTAACAAGAGCAACTTAAATTTAAATCTATTAAATACATTCTAGCGTGTCTCAGTCCTTTGCCCACAAAAGCAGCTATAACTTTTTTTTCTATTCGAAACAGTAAAAGTGGCACCTTTCTAAAATCTTTATTAAATGAGGAATTTTTTTTATGTAATGTAAAGTTATAGCTCAGTACATTTTTTTTTCACCAGAGATAGTCAAAGTTGGGGAAGAAAATATCAAAAAGTTAAAAATCCCAAAATACTCATAATTTTGTGATGGTTCCTTAATATATTTTAACTACATTGCATTTGAATATGGAAAAGCAACTATCTGGAAGTATTTCGCATAAAAAATTTACTAAGTATAGCCTTGTTTGTAGATGCAGGTAAAGAAAATACATGAAAAGGCACGATTTTTCTTTAATTCAAAAAAAATTAAATATTTCAAAAACGGTGACACTTTTACTTGTAAAATGTTTGCTTATCAGGGAGTCCACCACCCCTCCTGCCTTCTCCTCAAGTTTGGCAGGTTACTTCTGGGACACCCTGTATACTGGCATACTGTAGTACGTAGCAAATTATTCTTAAAATTATCTCCTATTTCATGCATCTCAGTTAAGCTTTGGTTTCAAGAGAAATTTCTTGACGCTTTTTCCAATTAAAGGGATTATTAGTGATTTTTACTAATTACTTGCCCTTGGAAAATTCGGAAATTTTTTGATTCACATGAATGCGATAATAAAAAAAACAAATTTACTACGGGAATTGAGTTTTTCCCGATTTTCAGAGTTATTTACTCCTAAATCGCATTTTAGTAGTAACCAGCCGCACGCCCTCGCAGTAAATATGTACGTACATGCAATGTTTACACTTTTTCTGCGATGCTAAATTTACAGTTAAGTAGCGTGTATTCGCCGCATCGGCATCGCCGATTATTAACATGTTACCGTTTTATGTAATCGTGCAACTCTCCAGCGTCTACATGTACAGCCAAGCTGCACTTTAGGCATTGGCCAGCCCTCTATGTAAGCAGTGTTGGCACTAATCGATTGATTTTTTAATCAATTAGTTAATTCGATTAAATTTAATCCGATTACAGTTAGTCATGATTAATTTTAATCGGACTAAACATGTAATCGTAACCGCGATTAAAAAAATTAATTTTTAATCATTAACCCTTAATTTGATTAAGTAGGTTTGGTGATTAATTAATTTATGGTGGAATTTTCCTGTGCACACAAAGCCAGTTAATCGGGTATGGCTAAGTCGGATTTCCTCATCAATCTAAGCAATTTGGTGTGCATTTTCATTAAGATCTATACCAACAGACGTTTTACAAACTAAGTTTTAATATCCCTCTGCTCATGTGCGCTGGGTTGTAAAAGTTCCCAGTTTATTTATTACTTATAACAATAATTATATTTTTTTTTTATATTACGTGCTTTTTATAAGCGTAAACACACAAAATAATTACTATAACTGGTGTTTGGTTTCAAATTCGGATAAACTAGACAACTTAATCAGATTTTCTTTTTAATTGGATTAACGATTAATGATTAAAATTAATTAATAGTAATCGCAGCCAGCGATTAACGATTGAAAAAATTTAATCATTAATCGTACAGTTGATTACGATTAATTAATTTTAATCGGCAATCATGATTAACATTTTAATCGTTAATTTTTAATCGTTAGTCAGATTAACATTTTTCAAACACTGTATGTAAGTACTTCCAAATTAGTTTGGCAATGCAAGTCTCGACTAAATTATGTTGGTAAAGATAACGAGATTGCTTTACTCTGGGTGTCGGGCAACTCGGCAGTGCCTGGAATGAGACATCTGACCCTTTGGCCACAGTTGGCTTAGACCAGGCATTCCTCGATCCGCAACCAGTTACAGCACTTCCCACTTCGACTATCGAAGCCACCATCAGAAACTGGGTGGATACTTCGCTCAGCAATGACTGGGAGCCATCGAGTGGATGCAGGTGGGAAAAACTCATCTTGCCTTCAATCTCAGGTCAATCTTGTCTTTTCCTCTTACTGAAAACACGGGACTGCTGACTGGTCGCTTCACGTGGCACAAACACCTGACTGTGATAGGCGTAAATGGCAACTCCATTTGTCCATTCTGCTTTGAAGAGGATGAGACGGTGGAACACTTTTTGAGCTTCTTACTTGCTTGTTATCATCGATTTATCTAGATTCGGTCCTTCCTTTTTTGTCTGTTTCTGAATTTGAAGTTTGGCGTAAAAAGCTTTGCAAGTTTGTGTTTTAAAAATGCGAGTGACGAATATTTTTCGCATCACTTTAAAACTTGGAACGATAGAAATAACAATGATTTTTAATATTTTTATTGAGCTTTGTACCACGATTGTTTATTAGGAAAAACTGAAAAAGCAACAAAGTCTAAGCGGTAGAAGTTATAGCGGCTATTTCGAAGATCAGACTTCTTTTTTCTAGATTTCAGCAGGGATCGAACCTGCGTTACCGTATTCAAAGTCGTAGAAGCGTTAACCACTGAGCTATGTATATCCCGTAAACTCTTGTTGCTAATTCATTTCCTTATTCAACCAACTACTATCAAGTGCAGCTGATTTGCCGCTATTTAAACTCGACAGCGTGGTGACTTTGTTGCTTTTCAATTTTTCCTAATAAACAATCGCGGTACAAAGCGCAATAAAAATAAAATGTTAATAAGCCACAATAACATTGACAAATACATAGTATAGGAAGAGCCTGCCTGAAACTGTACAAAAAAGCAAACGGATGGAATTGACAACAACAACCACGCAGTCGAGTTTAAATAGCGGCAAATCAGCTGCACTTGATAGTTCGATTCAGTTCAGGTTCGATCCCTGCTGAAGTCTAGAAAATAGAAGTCTGATGAGGAGATGTGGAAAATAGCTGCTATAACTTCTACCGCTTAGACT